TTTTTTCGGAGTCAAAGATTTAAAGATTAAGAATAAAGAAATATCGTTTCAAAAAATATAAAGATTTAAAGACTTACAGGTTTAAAGGTTTAAAGGCTTAAAGGTTTAATGGTTTAAAGGTTTAATGGTTTAAAGGTTTAAAGTTTTAAAGGTTAAAAAATTTAAAGATTTAAAGGTTTAAAGTTTTAAAGATTAAAAATAAGAAAAAAAAGTGAAAATTAGAAATAAAGAAATAAAGATTTCAAGATTAATGGTAAAAACAAAAGATTTAAAGATAAAAGAGAGATAAGACTTAAGAGTGGATTTTAAATTATTCGAAATTAATTAGTTGAAATTGGAATTTTGTGGATATTCAGATTGACGTAAAATAATGTAAGTAAAGTTAGTTGGTAGATGTAAGACTCAAACTTGGGTTTTTACAAGGTACATGATATATACGTCACAGAAAATAATTTTTAAGAAGGACTGATAATGATAATAACAGTCATATAATAACAGATATAAGTGCTATATAGATAACGTCTAATAACGTTAGAGATAATAATATAAAAGCACCTTTATACACACTGTTATTCCTGCATTTCAAAAGGCTTGGAGCATCACGTACCACAGCTGGCTAACCTTCGTGCTGCTGCTGTGGGCGTGTGTGCTGTGGATGATTCCCAACCAGAGAGCTGCTATGCTGAGGTGCTCGCCCTTCCTCGTCGTGTATGCTGAGGTAACGCCACGGGTTTAGTTTTTAATTATACATAGAGGCGTACGTCATCATCATGAGGAGAATGGTCTCTCTCTATACCTGCTTGAGAGGAAAAATAGATGAAGTATGGCGCACTTATTGGCTTAAGCACATACACATACACCAAACACACACCTACGCTCATATATATATGTATGTGCATATGTATGTATTCATATGCACACATACATATATATGTACACACACACACACACACATATATATATATCGATTCTGTAATTTCAAGGCCAATTTTAACTGTTGGTAGGGTGTATGTTTTCCAGGTATTCTGCATCCTGTGCATCGTATTACCCTTCACAATACCTTAAGAAATACTCACCAATCACCTCTTTATCCAGCGCATAACAACATTTCTCCGAGTACGTCCCATCTATACCTTTATCACGACTTTCATCTAACCCACAATTATCGCTTCTTTCCAGCTGCTGTTGCTCCTGCAGTACATCTACTGCATGGACCTCACTGACTCTGAGCTTCCGAGCGAGATGGAGACCGTGAACCTCAGCCAGATTGGGCTCGTCAAGGTTCCGTACCTGGCTTGCAAACCTCTCCTGGTCAAGGTAAGGCTGGGGTTTGTAGACGCTTGTCTGACTATCTATCTATCTTCCTGTCTACCTACATATCTGCCTGCATGTCTATATATATATATATATATATATATATATATATATATATATATATATATATATATATATATATATATATACATATATATCTATATATATTTCTCTCTCTCTCTCTCTCTCGCTCTCTCTCTCTCTCTCTCTCTCTCTCTCTCTCTCTCTCTCTCTCTCTCTCTCTCTCTCTCTCTCTCTCTCTCTCTCTATATATATATATATATATATATATATATATATATATATATATATATGCACACACATAAATACATAGCATTCATTTCTCCCCTAATCCCCACCTTTTAGGCCATACACAAAAACCCATTTTACAAAACTTGCCACAATTCACACTACAAATTTATATACCGACACACACACACACACACACACACACACACACACACACACACACACACACACACACACACACACACACACACACACACACACACACATACACACACACACACACACACACACACACACGCACACACCACCCTTTTCACCCCAAATCTTCCACATTTTAACCCAAACCCAAACACCCAAAATACAAATCGAACCACAACTCCCTCTACAAAACCAACCCTCAACACCCTCTCCTTTCCAGGTCCTGTACACCTGCATGTTCTGGATCACCCTCCGCCAGTACGTCCAGGAAGTGATCGAGTCAACGAAGCGGGAGATGTCGACGGCCGCGGCGCTTCAGCCCTTCACCGTGGCTGTGAGCACGACCAACACGGGGCAGCCGGTGACCACGCTCATTACCTCGTCGCAGGGTAAGTGTGGCGCTTGTGGACTTTGTTGTATTTGTGTGGTTGGGGGGTGGGTGGGTGTTGGTGTTAAATGTTTTTGTTGTTTGTTTGTTTGTTTTGTTTGATAAATTTGGATATTTATATTTTCGTCTGAGGTTTATTACCTGTGTGGCGTAAATAGGGAGATAAAAGGATAAAGGAAATGACATTGAGGATAGTAATAGTAATGATAATTTTGATGAATAGAGTTTATAATGATAATGATGATTTTGATATCAATAATGATAATGACAATAATATTGATAATAATTAAAATGCTGAACTTGAGATGATAACAACGATGATAATAATGATAATAATAAGAATTTTCACAGTAATAACAATCATAATTAGAATAATCATAATAATGATAATAAGAACAAACAAAGTCATGTTCACCGTAACAACCGCCAAAAATAATAATGAAAATAATAACAATAACAATAATAATAACAACAACAATCCTCGTCCCTCCCTCCCCCCTTCAAACCCCGATCCCCGCCCCCGACGCCGTTGCCATGACAACCTCCCCAGACGAGCCGACGGCCTCCCCCGTGATGGAGCGCCTCGGCCAGTGGCTTCGCGGCCTCCTGGTCAAGTTCTGGATCTGGGTCGTGGCCATCATGCTCTTCGTGTTCGGCATCCAGGGCTCGCAGGTCGTCATCTTCAGGATCATGTACATGGTGCTGTTCCTCATTTTCACCATCACTTTCCAGGTGAGTGAGAGGAGAAAGGGGGAGAAGGGAGAGGTAGAGGAAAGAGAGAAAGAGAGAGGAGGTTGGGTTGGGAGGAATCGATGTTTTTTTTCCGTTTTGTTTTTTGTCAGCATTCTATTTTTTTGGGGGAAGGGAGGATTTTTTATCATATTTTTTTTCTGTTTGTTTCCTTTTTTATATAGCTAGTAATTTTCGGGTAGAGTGAAGGTATATTGCATATTGTAAGTATCAAAGCTACTTACAATATACAAAACCCATTAACCTTTATATACTACTTTACACATTTTCCTTACATAAAAAAGAAAAAGAAATATCACATTAAATCACAACTTTGATAATGCACTAAAGAAAAAAGTAAGAATAAAAAAAAACAACAACAATTCTACCTAAAGATAAATATAAATAATAATAATATTAGTAACGATGGTAATAATAATGATAAACAATAATGATAATAGTAATGAAAATAATAAAAATGATAATACAAATAAGAATGATAATGAAAAATAAAAACACGAACCGTTTTCACTACACCAAAACCACCCATAACCCAATACGAAATACAACCCTAGCAACATTTATTGCAACCTGTTTTTTTCTTGCAGCTCTCGTACTCAGCCTGGCGAAATTTCCTCTACGGTTTTTGGCTGACGGTGATCATATACCAGATGTTCGTACTGGTGCTCACCTACACCTACCAGTTCGACAACTTCCCGACGTACTGGGAGAACTATACCGGTATTCCGAAGCAGTTGCAGAACGATATGGGGTTGGAGGTAAGTTGGGGGAGAGAGGAAGGGGAGGGAGGAAGGAGGGGAGACGTGGGAGGGGGAGGGAGGGAGGGAGGAGGGTGAAGGGAGGAAGGAGGGAGAGGAAGGAGGGGGAGGGTGGGGGAGGGAGAGGGAGGAGGGGGAGCGGGGGAGGGTGGAGGGTGGAGGGTGGAGGGTGGGGGAGGGAGAGGAAGGAGGGGGAGCGGGGGAGGGTGGAGGGTGGAGGGTGGGGGAGGGAGAGAAAGGAGGGGGAGGGAGGAAGGGGAGGAGGGGAGGGTGGGGGAGGGAGACGAAGGTGGGATGGGGGGTAAGAGGGCCTGGTGGGGTATAGGTTGATTGATTGATTGACAGAGAGGTAGATGGAGAGCCAGGGATATGGAAAGATAGATAAAGAGAGAGTCATTAATTACAGTGGTTCTTCTTTTTTATAGAAGTAATGACATTGTACAGTAATGCAGAATAAATAGAAACGATATTAAATAAATTAGTAGTATATATATATGTATATATATATATATATATATATATATATATATATATATATATATATATATATATATAGAGAGAGAGAGAGAGAGAGAGAGAGAGAGAGAGAGAGAGAGAGAAAGAGAGAGAGAGAGAGAGAGAGAGAGAGAGAGAGAGAGAGAGAGAGAGAGAGAGAGAGTGAGAGAGAAGGGGGGGGGGTGATTGATAGATAGATAGATAGATAGGTAGATATATAGATAGAAAGATAAGTAGATAGATGAATATATAGATAAATAGGTAGATAGATAAATAGATAGATAGATAGAGAGAGACAAGGAGATAGAAACAAATAAATAAATAGTAATAAATAGTCAAACTCATAGAACAGACATAATACCATAAACAAACAAACAAAAAAGTAAATAAAATAATTCCCCTCCCCCCCAAAAAAAAAGATGCAAGAAAAAGAAAAGGAAAAAGAAAAGAAAAAGAAAAAGAAAAAGAAAAAGAAAAAGAAAAAGAAAAAGAAAAAGAAAAAGAAAAAGAAAAAGAAAAAGAAAAAGAAAAAGAAAAAGAAAAAGAAAAAGAAAAAGAAAAAGAAAAAGAAAAAGAAAAAGAAAAAGAAAAAGAAAAAGAAAAAGAAAAAGAAAAAGAAAAAGAAAAAGAAAAAGAAAAAGAAAAAGAAAAAGAAAAAGAAAAAGAAAAAGAAAAAGAAAAAGAAAAAGAAAAAGAAAAAGAAAAAGAAAAAGAAAAAGAAAAAGAAAAAGAAAAAGAAAAAGAAAAAGAAAAAGAAAAAGAAAAAGAAAAAGAAAAAGAAAAAGAAAAAGAAAAAGAAAAAGAAAAAGAAAAAGAAAAAGAAAAAGAAAAAGAAAAAGAAAAAGAAAAAGAAAAAGAAAAAGAAAAAGAAAAAGAAAAAGAAAAAGAAAAAGAAAAAGAAAAAGAAAAAGAAAAAGAAAAAGAAAAAGAAAAAGAAAAAGAAAAAGAAATATACATTAAATCACAACTTTGATAATGCACTAAAGAAAAAAGTAAGAATAAAAAAAAACACCAACAATTCTCCCTAAAGATAAATATAAATAATAATAATATTAGTAACGATGGTAATAATAATGATAAACAATAATGATAATAGTAATGATAATAATAAAAATGATAATACAAATAAGAATGATAATGAAAAATAAAAACACGAACCGTTTTCAGTACACTAAAACCATCCACAACCCAATACGAAATACAACCCTAGCAACATTTATTGCAACCTGTTTTTTTCTTGCAGCTCTCGTACTCAGCCTGGCGAAATTTCCTCTACGGTTTTTGGCTGACGGTGATCATATACCAGATGTTCGTACTGGTGCTCACCTACACCTACCAGTTCGACAACTTCCCGACGTACTGGGAGAACTATACCGGTATTCCGAAGCAGTTGCAGAACGATATGGGGTTGGAGGTAAGTTGGGGGAGGGAGGAAGGAGGGAGAGGAAGGAGGGGGAGGGAGGGAGGGAGGAGAGTATTTCCACAAGGATTTCCTCGCCCTCTCGGACATTGAAAAGATGTAAGTCGTTTTTTTTATTTTATTTTTATATCTTTTTATTTTTTTTTTAGTTTTTATTTTTTATTTTTTAGTTCTGCTTGATATTTTTGAGAGATGTTTTTATTTATTTTTTAAAGATTAGGTGGATGTTTCTTCTCTCTTTTTTTGTAGAGGAATGAATCTTTAGTATTTTATGTATATATACATTTTTTTCTTTTTACAAATTATATTAACTACAGGTACTGTATATTGTCTAAAGAAAATATATCTAACCTAAGAAAATCTATTACATCAAGTCAAAGAAAACGGAATAAATCTAATCACAAATAACCTACTGAGGATACCAGTCACCCAACCCTTTCCTTAATCACAAACAACCACCTAAAATCACCTAATCACTCACTCCTTTCTCCCTAGTAACAAAATAAACCTACCAAGATACCAATCACCCACTCCTTTCTACCCAATCACAAGACAATCCTACCAATCCTACCTAATCCTTTGTACTAACGACGGCTACCAAAAACCTAATCTTTTCTCCCTAATCACAAAAATACCCTATAAAATACCCTACTAAAATCACCCTAAAAGAAAAACTCTCAGTAGCTCACCAATCACTACCAATCACCCGACCCTATCTAATGTAACCACGCCCACCTGGAACGCCCCCTTTTTTCCAGACTTACCAATCTTTACCAAATATTCTTTCTAACGTCACCACGCCCACCTGAAACGCCCCCCTTTTTTTCCAGAGTTACCAATCATTACCAATCACCTTATTCTTTCTAACGTCACCACTCTCACCTGGAACGCCCCCTTTTTTCCAGCCCCGACCAGCCAGCGCCGAAGGACACGAGGAAGACAGACACCAAAGTCCCAATGCCCAATCGACCCGACCTCCTGGAGTCATGCACGCTGGATGACGTCAAAGGTAAAGCATGCGGAAGAATGGGTGGAGGGATTGGTGGAGAGGTGGGTGGGGGGGAGAGGAAGGGTGGGTGGGGGGGAGAGGTGGGGAGGGGGAGAGGTGGGTAGGGGGAGAGGTGGAGAGGTGGATGGCGAGGTAGAGGGAGGGAAAGGTGGGTAGGTGGAAAGGTGGATGGAGAGGTAGAGAGAGGGAAAGGTGGGTAGATGGAGAGGTGAACGATGTCAAAGGAAAAGCATGGGCGAAAATTGATGGATAGATTAGTGGAGAGGTGGAGAGGTGGAGAGGGAGGTAGGTGGAGAGGTGGGTGATGTAAAAGGTAAAGAATGCAGAAGGATAGATGGATAGGGGGATGCGTGGATAGAGAGGGAAAGAGGTAGAGAAGTAGATGGAGGGATGGTTAAGTGGATGGGTGGGTAGATGAATAGATAGAATGGTAATTAAGTAGATAGATGGATGGACAAATAGATGGGTGAATTGATAGATAAATAGACTGGTAAATTAAAAAATATTCATATTGATATATTGATAAGTTGAATGAATGAGACAAAACAAAAACAAAATCCTATTAAACAGTTATTTTTTTATGTATGTTTGTGGATAATTATGGATTATTGTTTTACGAAGAGTTTTCACGAACCTCCAAAAATATACCTCAAAATATACAATTCATCTAATAAAAAAAGAAAAAAAAAACGAAAAAAAACCCATTAACAGAACTACCTTTAAAAATAATCTAACAAATTAAATCTAACAAAGTCTTAAAGTCTAACTAATCTACAAATATCTATCGAATCTTCCTTCTTCTTCTTCTTTTTTTTTTCTTTTTTTTTTAACTCTGGTCGAATACTACTGCCAGAAGGTGATCATTATTATTATCATCATCGTCTGTTCCTCTCCTTTATCCCCCTCTTTATCTCATCTTCTTTTCCTTCTTTGTCTGATGGAATAATATGGACAGAAAGTGATAATTGGTATCATCATTATCTATTCCTCTCTTTTATTGCCCCTCAGCTCTGGTAGAATACGATGGACAGAAAGTGATAATTGTTATTGTCATTATCTATTATTTCTATCATTATTATCCATTATTTTCATCATGATCTATTCCCCTCTTTTATCCCTATATCTCTCTTCCCTACTTTTTCAACTGTGGTAGAAAGTGATCATAATTATTTCATTATCTCTTCCTCTTTTTTTTATCCCTACCTCTCTCTTCCCTCCTCTTTCAGCTCGGGTAGAAAGTGATCATGAATATTTATCATCATTATCTATTCCTCTCCTTTATCCCTATCTCTCTCTTCCCCCCCCTTTTTTACCTCTGGTAGGAAGTGATCATAATTATTATCATCATTATCTATTACTCTTTTTCATTCCCACCTCTCTCTTCCCTCCTCTTTCAACTCAGGTACAAAGTGATCATAAATATTATCATCCTTTTCTATTCCCTTCCTTTATCCCTATCTCTCTTCCCCTCCCCTTTTTCCATCTCTGGTAGAAAGTGATCATAATTATTATCATTTTCTGTACCCCTCCTTTATCCCTCTCTCTCTCTTCCTACTCTTTTCATCTCTGGCAAAAAGCGATCATAATTATTATCTTCATTATCTATTCCTCTCTTTTATCCCCCTCTCTCTTCCCTCCTCTTTCAGCTCTGGTCGAATACTATGGCCAAAAAGTGCTCGCTCGGATTCAGACAACCTTAGCAGACGCGATGGAACTTGGCTGGCGATTCTTGGAACTCCATATTATGAAGATTGTGCTTGGCTCCGTCATGATGCTGGCTTGCTATGATGTAAGTGGTTTGGGGAAAGTTTTTAAATTGAGTAAGTATGTTAGTAGTTCAAGTTGATTGTGTGTTGTACCTTGCTTGCTTATGATGTAAGTAGTTTGGGGAAGTATTTATCTGAGTATGTTAATAGTTTGTGTTATATGCTTTGTTTTTGCTCTGGTGTTAGTCGATTGTTTTTTGTGTGTTTTCTCTCTTTGAGTTAGTATGTTAGTAATTTGTGTTGGCTTTGTTTGAAGCTTGTTTTGCCTTGGCGTTAGTAGACTGGATAATTCTGTTTTTTCCCTGAGTCTGTATGTTAGTAGTTTGTGTTATGTGTGTTGCCGTTAGTAATTTGATTTTTTCTGTGCCAGTATGTTAGTATATTTTTCTTGGGTCTACTTGGGTATTGTTTCCTTTGGCGTTAGTAGAGAGGGAAAGTTGTTTGTCTTTTCTGTGTGTCTGTTAGTAGTTTGTGATTTTGTTTGTTTTTTTCTTAGCATGTTAGTAGTCTGTGTTATTGGTTTTGCTTATGGATTGATTGCTTTTGGTGTTAGTAGATTTTTTTGTAAGTCAGTATGTAAGTATATTTTTGTTGGTTAGATTTTTTTTTTTACTTTTTTACTTGATAAGTGAATAGTTTGTGTTAGTTCTACTTGATTGTTTTGCATTAGTAGTTTGGGAAAGTTTATTTTCTGAGTCAGTACATCAGTAGTTTGTGTTGTGTCTATTTTTGGTTTGTTTTCCTTGAAGCTTGCTTGCTTTGGCGTAAGTAGTTTGGGGACATTTAGATGAATTTTAATTATTATAGCGCTTCTGTGTTAGTAGTTTGTGTCAGTGGTGTATAATGCTTGTTGGTTTTATACAATGCTTGCTGTGAGGTTGGTTGCTTGTGAAAGTTATTATAATCGTTATTGACTCTTCATACTGATAACTTTTATGTTGATTGTATTTAATATTTGTTATTATATTAGTTCATTATCTCATTAGTGTTCTTGTGGTTTGAGTGTGCGTTATAAAAATATAAGTGTTTATATCCATATCTGTATCTATCTATTTATCTATATACACACGTCCATATATCTTTTTATTGATATCTCTCTCTCTCTCTTCCTCTCTCTCTATCTCTCTCTCTCTCTCTCTCTCTCTCTCTCTCTCTCTCCCTCCCTCCCTCCCTCCCTCCCTTCCTTCCTCCCTCTCTCTCTCTCTCTCTCTCTCTCTCTCTCTCTCTCTCTCTCTCTCTCTCTCTCTCTCTCTCTCTCTCTCTCTCTCTCTCCCTCCCTCCCTCCCTCCCTCCCTCCCTTCCTCCCTCCCTCTCTCACTCTTTCTCTCTCTCTCTCTCTCTCTCTCTCTCTCTTTCTCTCTCTCTCTGTCTCTCTCTCTCTCTCTCTCTCTCTCTCTCTCTCTCTCTCTCTCTCTCTCTCTCTCTCTATATATATATATATATATATATATATATATATATATATATATGTATATATATACATACATACATATATGTTTTTACATATGTAAATATAAATAAATAAATAAATATATATATATATATATATATATATATATATATATATATATAGATAGATAGATAGATAGATAGATAGATAGATATAAGTACACACACACACACACACACACACACACACACACACACACACACACACACACACACACACACACACACACACACACACACACATATATATATAAACTGTCCTTACCAACAATCAGAATTCACGTCACCCACTTCCCGCCCCCGACTCCGCAACAGGTGTGCGCGCTCCACTGGGCCTTCGCGGTACTGGCAACAGTGGCGGTGCCTTGTCCGGAGAGAATCCAGACGTACATCTGCCGCACGTGCGTCGCTCTCTCCTCCCTCCTCCTTATTGTCAGGATGATCTATCAGATTAATTACATCGACCCTGAGGGATGGGCGGCGAACTGCACGGTGGGTGATGCAGATGTGTATTTGTTTAATGCCTTCATTTTCATATAGGAAGAAAAAAGAGGAAATACGCTATTCCACTTTGATAGATGAAGATAAATGTGATGAGAGTGGTGGTAGTACTGTTGATTGTAGTGGAGGTAATGATAAGGATGATGATGTAAAGATGTTCATTGATAACGATGATTATTATTTTATCATCATCACTATCATTGCTATTATTACTGTTATTATTATTATTATTATTATTATTATTATTATTGTTATTATCATTATCATTATTATTGTTGTTATTATTATCATCATCATAAATGTTATTGTTATTTTTATTATTGTTATTATCATCATCATTATTATTGTTGCTGTTGTTATTATTATTATCATCATTATCATTATCATTACCATTACCAATATTACTTCCAACAGATAACTAAAAAACGAATTATTATCATTATCATACATACGCAAACGAACAAACAAAGAAAAAATAAAACAAAAAGAAAAGATTTTAGTCTAACCAACGTAACTTAAAGTAAATAATAATAAAAAAAAATAAAACCACAAAACTCTTTACTGCCATTTTTTTCAAATAGAAAAAAAGGGTAACCACACTATTCCACCTGAACAGCTGACTCGTATCTTCACAGGATTACGAAAACTCCACGTGGCCGAAGATGAACGAGACAGCTAACAACGCGGTCTGGCTCGGTCTCTCCAAGGTGCCGAGCTTGCCCAAGTATCTCAAGGGATATATAGGTAAGTGTGTGTTTGTTAGTATTTATGCGAGTTTGTATGTGTGTGTGTCTCCGTATAAGTTTTGACAGACAGAGAGAGAGAGAGAGAGAGAGAGAGAGAGAGAGAGAGAGAGAGAGAGAGAGAGAGAGAGAGAGAGAGAGAGAGAGAGAGAGAGAGAGAGAAGGATCTATATATATATATATATATATATATATATATATATATATATATATATATATATGAATATATATATATATGTATATATATATATATATATATATATATATATATATATATATATATATATATATATATATATGAATATATATATATATATATATATATATATATATATATATATATATATATATATATATATATATATATATATAGAGAGAGAGAGAGAGAGAGAGAGAGAGAGAGAGATTGAGAAGTCTGATTGGTATATATGTATGTATATATATACATATATACATATATACATATACATACATATATATATATATATATATATATATATATATATATATATATATATATATATATATATATATATATATATATGAGGAGGATATACTATCAAAAAATTTATTGCATATTTTGAGTTGTGGAATCCTGTGGAATTCATACATTTTATGAATGAATGAGAATGAACAGTACCACGAAATATCAACGCATTAATGGCATACCTCCCGTTGTGGAAATATTCACGCCGATTACCGTCATTCTGATAAAAAGGCATACCACGACCTGACGACTTACCTACCATTATGCAAATCATTCATTCCCCTTCAAAACTTCTTTTTTTTTCCTTTTTTAACGAACGAATTGTGAACGAAATATCCCACAAAACCGAAACATGAATTAACCACCTCCTATTACGCAAGCACTCACTCTCACACATACCTTTTCAACACGGTATTCTCCCTTCCCCTCCCCCCTTCCCCCCTCCCCGTAGGTATCATCGTCGTGATCACAGTCCAGGCAGTGGTGCGCATCAGGCAGCAGTACCAACGACAGCTAACAGGGTTGCCACCTCCCCCTCCTGGCGTCCTGTTCCCCAACGTCACGAGAGCGGTGGCTGACGATGGCATCCCCGAGTGCGCTAAATTTCTGCTGAATTATGGGTTTTACAAGTTCGGGGTTGAGGTGAGTCTTGCTTGTTTTATTATTGTCTGTGTTGTTGGTATTGCTATGATATTATAGTATTCTTATTCTCAATATCTTTATTATTGTTATTATTGAGATTATTATTTTTATTGTTGTTCTTATTTTTTTTTGTATTATTGTTGTTATAAGTGTGTTAATTCTGGAATTAGTATTAGCATTAGTATTAGTGTTAGTATGATAATCATTGTTATCCTTATTAATATTATTATCATTATTAATATTGCTATCATTATCATCATCACTATTATCATGATTTTCATCAGAATTACCATTGTCATCCTTAACGACGTTATTCGTTTTCCTCATATTTCTCCTCCTCTTCCTCCTCCAAGTCTCCCTTCTTCCCCTTCCATCTTCCAGCCTTCCTCCTCCCCCAACTCCTCCTCTTCTTCCTAATCATCATCACTATCACCTTCACCACCATCCTACTCTCTAAATCTCCCCCAACTCCTCCCTCCTCTTCCTCTTCCTCCAACCCATTACCCTATCACATCTATCCCCCCTCCCCACCATCCTTTCACCTGACCTCCTGTGACCTCTGACCCCGCAGATATGCCTCATGAGCCTCGTCGGGGTCATCGGCACTCGCCTGGACGTGTACTCGCTCTTCTACGCCGGCTGGCTCTGCTACTTCTTCAACAGACAAAGGAAAGACATCGCCAGAGTGTGGAAGGGCTTCGTCATCTCCATCACTGTGCTGATTCCGCTGCAGTACCTGATGTGTGTGGGCATCCCTCCTGCGCTGTGCATTGGTGAGTTTGAAAGGAGATGTTGTTGTTGTTGGTGGCGGTGGTGTAGTTTTCGTTGTTGTTAATTACATGTACTACAAACTACAGAAAAATAAACAATCGTAGATTCAAAACTAGATCATTGATATTTATTTTTTATGTCTAGTACCATTTACGTACTTTATGTCTTTGATATTATTTAGTTAATACTACATTCATCTCCGTGTTTTTTTATTACATAGTAGTACATTTCAGACACATACAAAAATAAGATAAAAATGAAGTCAGATATTTATTTTACTTCTAATACCATTTACAAATACTATATCTTTATTTCTTATTCTACTTTCGTCTGTATTGGCAGTAAGTAATCAATATTATAATGCCTTGTTATCTCACAGTAGTATATTGCGCTCAAGCATAAACTGGAAGCTGCATTGCTTATCAAGATAATTTGGCAAAAGCAAAACAATATCACTTGCAGATCCTTATTGAACGTTGATTCCTGAAACTTTTCGTTAAATGATGATCACTTTGTAGTATTTCATGATTTTGAACAAAGCGAAATCACGGCAGTTATATCAGAAGGATATACATTGAAAACTCCAACCAACATGCAATGTCAAAGCTGCACACACACGAATGAGCAAGTATCCTGTAGACTTTGGCAAGCTTGCTAACCTGTAATCGTAGATGCCTGATTGTGTAAACGGATAGGAGACAGAGAAAAAGAAAATGATCAATGAACACTTCATTGTTAAATCCTACTTAAGGTGTATATATGTTGAATGATAATAATAATGATAACAATAATAATATCAAATATATAGCTATAATCTTGCTATTTTTATTTTTTCACTTTTTTTAATGATGAATTTTTTTCTTATCTATGAACACAAGTTTTGCACATATTCAGCAGCATGTTTTGAGCATGTCACTTAAAAAATTGGAAAAAATGAAGAAAGGAAAAGACTACCATACTGTGCTTTGGTCGGAGCAATGTGATCTATATAATGATCTACTGCATTTGCATCTTTTGAGGGATTTTGTTGAAACTGAAGATATGCGGAGTAGTAACCTGCAAATTGTTCAGTCCACAGCCACTTTGCTGTTCAGTTGAAAGGAACTTTGTGAAACATTAAGACATTATATAATTCTCAGAAAAATACAACACTAATAAAAAGCAACAGTACCAAAACAAAACACAAAAAATAATGCAACACTAGCAAAAACAAACAAACAAACAAAATATACTGTAATATACTATACAGAAAAATAATACAAAACTTATGAAAAGTTTGACAGCGCAGAAAACTCACCAAGATTAGATAAAACAACAATCAAAAATACACTCACACGGAAAAATATAACACCAGCAAAAGTAATACCTTAGAAAAAAATACAACACCGAGAAAAACTCAATTCACAAGGAAGGGACACATTAACAGCCTTTTCTCCTTCGCTCGCCAGACTACCCTTGGCACGAAGTCATGGACCCCGAGCTGAGAGAGTGGCTTTTCTTCCCTGATTTCGTGAAGCCTCCGGAGTCGTACAAGATTGTCAGTAAGTTCAAGGATGGTTTCGTTGTATTTAAAACAAAAACAAAAACAACAAAGAAACTTTTGTTTGTATTATGGAAAAGTCTCGGTTTAATAAGCTTTTTGTTTTATATTGTAAAAATAAAGTCTTTGTTCCATGATGGTTTTATATTATATTAATACAATTTCAGTAGTTTTTAAAATTAAAAGCGTCTTTGTTCAATGAAGGTTTTATTATATAGAGTATGAAAAAAATCTTTACTCGTGATTGAAGTGATTTCCTTTTTATATATTTGCTAGTTTTTTCTTCTGCTGATGGTGAGATGAAATCTTTTTGGTCGTGATTTGTTCTATTTATATATGTATCAACAACACAATACTTAAAAAAAATACGGGATATTTTTGTTTTTAAACTAAAATCACTCATTCCTTCCACTCCATCATTCTTAATAGGATATGCTAATCCCCCCCCCTCCCCCACCCACACACCCTCCTTCTAAACTCCCCCCCTTCTCCCCCCCTCTTCCCAATCAGCTGACTTCTG